TTCTTCGAGTGTTGATTGTAAGCTTTGTTGCATTGTGGTCTGATAGAATGCATGGAATTATTTCAATCTTTTTTGTATTTTTGAGGTTTTTTTGTGCCCCATTATAGGATCGATTTTGGAGAAGGTTCCATGGGGTGCTGAGTAGAAAGTATGTCCTTTGGTGCTTCGGTGGAATACTCGGTAGATGTCTGTTAAGTCCATATGATTTATGGTTTTGTTTAATTCAGATGTCTCTCTGTTAACTCTCTGCCCTGTTGACCTATCTAATGGAGACAGTGGGGCATTGAGGTTGCTGACCTATCTAATGGAGACAGTGGGGTATTGAAGTCGCCTACTATTAATGAATTGTGGTTAATCTGATTCTTAAAGCCCTGTAGTATTGTTTTTATGAAGTTGGGTGCACCAGAGTTTGGTGAATATATGTTCATAATTGTAATATCTTCTTGAGTCGTTGTCCCTTTTATCAGAATGAAGTGGCCCTCTTTATCTCTTTGATTAGTTTTATTTTAAAGTCTATTTTGTCAGATACTAGAATTGCAACACCTGCTTTTTTCCATTTGCTTGGTATATTTTTTTCCATCCTTTCTTTTTAAGATAGTGTCTGTCCTTGAAAGTGAGATGAGTTCTTGCAGACAACAAAAAGATGGGTTTTGTTTCTTAATCCATTCACATAGTCTGTGTCTTTTGGCTGGGGAGTTCAGTCCATTAATATTTAAAGTTTTAATGAAAGATGTGCTGTCAACTCCTTGGGTATAGTCATTCCTTTCTTCAGCTCTTTGTATTGCTTCCAGAACTCTCTGAAGGGCTGGTTTTTGTGGACATGAATTCCTTCAGCCTATTTATGTCATGGAAGATTTTTCTTTCCCCTTTGACTATAATAGACATTTTGGCTGGGTATAGTAATCTGGGTTGGCATCTGTGGTCATTTACAACTGGGAATACTTTGGTCCAGACTCTTCTGGCTTTCATAGTTTGCACTGAAAAGTCAGTTGTAATCCTAATGCTTTTTCCTTTATATGTGACTTCTTGTTTCTCTTTTTCAGCTTTCAGAATTGTGTTTGTTTTGTATGTTTTGTGTTTTTACTATGATGTACCGTGGAGAGTTTCTTTTGTGGTTCTATTTGGTGTTCTATATGCTTCTTGTATTTGTGTGGGCATGTCTTTCTTTAATTTTGGCAAATTTTCTTCCATGATTCTGTTGAAGATCTGGTCCATGCCATTATCTTGGGATTCTTCTCCTTCCTGTATGCCTATGATTCGTAAATTTGGTCTTTTTATGGTGCCACACAATTTCTGCATATTCCATTCTTGTGATTTCTCAAATTTTTCATAATCTTTCCTTGAGTGGTCTAGTTCATCCACTCTATCTTCCAGTCTTGATACTCTGTTCTATTTTGTTCATCCTATTGGTGAGGCTTTCTCCTGTTCTTTCCTTCTTCATTTTAGCCTGAGTATTCTTCAATATTTCTAACTCTTTTCTGAATTCATTCAGAAGTTTATCCCTGTCTTCCTTCAGTTCTTTGATTTCTTTTTTTTGTGTTATTTTCAAATTCATTGAATTCTTTTATCATGTTTATAATTGTTTTTTCGAGTTCTGTGCCCTGCATTATCTCCAGGGGGTTCTCATTGTACTCCTCTAGAGGACTATTGGTATTTGGTGGGGATTTGTTATTTTGGTTTTTCATATTATTATTTTTTCTCTGTGATTTTGACATGTGAATTTCTTTTGTAGTTTCTGATTCTTGTGTGAGACTCAGGCCTTCAAGTTTATGTCCACTTCTTTTTGTGAAAAGCTGGTTTGCTAAGCTTCTGGTTCTCTCTTTTGATTTTATATTGGAGTGATTGGGTTGTGTTTGTCTTCAGGAGTTCCCACAGAGGCCCAATTCAGGTGAGGGTCAGATGTTTTCAGGCTTTCTCCTAAGGTCTGGATCCCTCCAGGAACGATCTTGGCCTCAGAAATTTGGGGGTTGGACTGGCCTGGGAGCCTGGCCCAGGAAAGATGCTGGCCTAGGGCAGCTGGTGGCCATGCCACCGAGAGATGCAAAGGCAGATGGGGCGGGAAGAGGCCCCAAGGCCTCTTAGGGACTAAACTGAGGAGCTGGGTTGGTCTGGATCCAAAGGATCAGGAAGAGGAAGGGTCAGCCTGTGTCTCAGAAAGAGGTTGGCAGGTGGTGCAGGACCAGAAGCAATGCTTCTGGGGCCCAGGGAAGGCACTACATTGGTTCTGGATGAAAAGGATCAGGGAGCAGTATTGGTTCCCCAGGTGTCTGGGGCTCCAAGACAAGGAATGGGGCAGGGCCCAAACTCAGAGGAGAGAATGGCTGCGTAGATGGGAGGGTGAATGAGGCTGGGTGAGTCAAGGCTTGGAGGGTGCAATGGACTTATTCCGAGAGAGGCCTGTGGTGGGTCCTGCAGGCCCAGGGAAGCAGAGGGAGGTGAGGGCGGGGCCTGGCCCAGAAGCAGTGCTCCTGGGGCCCAGCGAAGGTACTATGTTGGTCTAGATGAAAACAATCAGGGAGCAGTATTGGTTCTTCAGATGTCTGGGGCCCCAAGACAAGGAAATGGGCAGGGCCCAAACTCGGAGGAGAGAAGGAGGCAGAGATGGGAGGGTGAATGATGCTGGGGGAGTCAAGGCGCAGCAAGCGCAATGGACTTACCCCTGAAAGAGGCCTGCAGGTAGGTCAGAGGCCTGCGTTGGGTCCTGCAGGCCCAGGGAAGCAGAGCAATTTCTTTTTTTTTAAATTAGAGATGCTTCTTCTCCCCTAGCTGGTCCTATTTAGGACTTGAGTGGAAACCTACTTTTTAAAAAAATTATTTATTTAATAACCACGTAATTAGAAGAAGCATTTCATTACAACAGCATTGACATATTCAGTAACAATTTCCAGAGCTAAGATGTATCTCTTTCAAAATTGGCTGTAAATTTTTAGGCTTACAGTTGAATCAATACAGCTATACAATATTGTACTCAATA